CTTGGGTGGCCCTGCATGGTATAGCTCATGGCTTCACTGAGTTACGACAAGGCAGTGATCCATGAAGGGGATACAATCAATACATTACTCTAATTGAGCTTTGGACCCTGCACTACCTATGCTGCCCCTGTTGGCTCATTGGGGTATTCCAGGCTCAATGGAAAAGTAGGGCGATGTATTGAAGGTACCGGACGTACTGCCTCCTGGTGGTTCGGTTCACAGACATTGCAGGCTCCAGAGCGAAAATAGGCTCATATATTCATCATGGAATAGGGGGATGCATTTCACTTATGGCACATACTGTCCCTGGTGGCACACGGGTGTGCTGCAGGCTCAATGGGGGAATATGGGGCAAAATTAGGGCAGCCCTAGGACACACTGCTACCTGGTGGCTCATTGGGTATTGCCTGGTCCATGGGAGAAATACGTATCGATCTTTGAGGACCAGCTGCCCCCTGTGAACCGGGACCTTTTCCCCCCAGGATCTCCTGGTAGTCTCCCGACCAGGGAGCGTAGCCGGGGGCGTAGCCAGGAGGAGGGAAGGGGAGGAGCCGCGCGCCCAAACCCCCGGATTTGCCACCACGAAACTGAAATCAGCTGCCAACACTATGAACTCCACCTCTACTCATCCACAATCCTGCCCTGGACTCGTCGCCCCTTGCCAGGTCCTTAGGCCAGAGCCCCCAGGCCCATGCGTCTGCCCCCCCCCGCCCTGGGCGCTGGCATGGTGTGTGAGGATCAAAGTTCCCACCGTCCCCAGCCCCTCCTGCCCAGGTGCTCGCAGGCAGGACCCCCCCATAATCCTCGGCCCCCGCTCTTCACTGTTCTCCGGAGGACAGAGCCTCTGCGACCACGAAGGGAGGGAAGCAGCCTGGGAGGGAATGAGCAGCAGGACTCCGCTGTTTCTTCTCTGCGCTGCACAGCTCCTCCTTTCTCTGTGCAGACCCAGGTTGTGCGCAGGTCAATCCTGAAAAGGACCTGAGAATCCGATGGGAAGAGCTTTCAGAAGGGATCGCATTTCCGATTGCGGCAGAGCAGCGCCATCTGGTGGCCGTGGGGATTTTGCAGTTTAACCGAGTTCCCGGGAGATCCGTATTTTCCTTTGATTCTTGCGACCAACTTAGAAAATCAACAAAACCTGGCTACCAATCCTGAAAAATACAGCCTGCAAAAGGTCAACAAACTCAGCTCAACCACCAGGATATGTGAAC